AGTGTCCTAAACTCCATCACCCGACACTCCTCTCTGAAGACTAAGGTAGAAGGTCCTCAGCTCCGCAAGTCCACTCCTGCAGGACGATCAAAGAGTTTCAGTAATCACAGACCACTGGACCCAGAGGTCATCGCTCAGGTGGAGCACAGCTCACAGGTACAACAAACCCAGAATCTGGGCATGTCATTCAGTGTGGCACTGCTTATTATTTAAATTCAGAAACATTCAGACCCTGTCAGTTTTCATACACACTTACACTGAATAAGAATGATATGCATGTAAACAGAAAATAATTTTTTCCCACTCCGGAAATAGTCCTGAGCTCTCCAGAGGAGTGTCTGTGTTTTTTAGAATGTCCTATTTATCTTTCTTTGAGCTGTAATTTCACGGCTGGATAGAGGGCCAGAATCGATCCCGGCTGTGGTTATAATTGAGTTCGAGTTCCTGCGGTCCAGTCATTCTGAGTGTGGACATCTCACAATTTTATTGTTGTACTTGCTACACAACAGTTGTTGTAGATGTGCATCGCAGTTGTTGGATGTTGTTTTTTTGAAAAGGAGTGAAATACTGGAAAATGCCACTAAAATCCATCAAAATGTGGCTACCATTCAAATTTTTTCATAAAAAAAAACAAAGCAGCCAGTTCACCGGTAACTTTTTTTGAAATTGCAGCATATACATGGTATAAATTGCAAACAAAATGTTATATACAAAAATATTACAAACAAAATATGATCTGTTAACCAGGTAACCAGGCTTTTATAAGGAATACTTTTATTTGATGTTATTCGTGACCTTTTTAAGGTTGTTTTTAATTTTGGTTTTATTTATGAGACCGCAAATGCACTGTGTGAATTCAAGTGTTTTATTGTAAATTAAATTAAATTGAATGAAATTATAAGAATAAAATAAGAAGAAACTATCTTGTGCCGTTCATCAAAAATATTCATTAGAAAAAACTGATAAAGAATTCAAATTAAAAATAAAATAGTAAAATAATAGAATGTTTTTATATTATATGTTTTATATACTAATATTATATAAAATTAATATAAATATAAAATATATTTATATCCATATTTTCTCTTTTTGTTTTTCTTAATTTATCTCTTTTTTTCAGGACATTGAGGCGACTATGAACACGGCTCTAAGTGAGCTGCGAGAGCTGGAGAGGCAGAGCAACGTCAAACACGCTCCTGACGTTGTGCTTGACACTCTAGAGCAGCTGAAGAGCGGAGGGGCGTCTGAACCCTCCAGCCCGCTTCATTCCCGCCTGCTCCGTGAGGCCGACTCCTCCCAGCATCCTCTGCAGCGCAGCGCCAGTTCGGCCAGCGACATGCCCTCCACCTTCCGGCCCGGCAAGAGCTCGGGTCCCAAGAGCCCTCTGTCATCAATGTCTACCACAGGTCTGTCCGCTTCCAGCTCCACCTTCAGAGATAACAAACCCCCAGCCACCAAACCCAAGCCTGTGGTGTTCCCAAAAAGCAGTTCGGCCGGGGGCAGTCCGGCGATGGGATCCCCGACCACCACCATACCGCCAACACCACCACCCCCTCCACCACCCACCGACAAGTCCTGCCCGGTCTGAGCGTTTACAGCCTCGATCTGTGATCCGTTTCTTAGGAATTCCAAGAGCACCCTCTAATACTGACTTTTTTGGATCTTAACAGAAAACTGCGGACAACTTAACAGACTCAAACTGATATTGGATGCTTGCGTGAGTGAGCTTGAGTTTGTGTGTGTGTGTGGAATTAATATACACTTGTGGAAATATTGAAGTGGTTTTAAAACACTGTTTTAGTTTGGATTGAGACATGGACATAAGCAATCACTCTTCTCTAAGCCCAAAATTAGTGGTTTCGATTTTTTCCGCCTGTATATAGACTGATTTTATAGGAAAGGGGTCAAACTTTGAGGACGAACGAGCAGTGGATGTGCTTTCCGAGGACACTTTCTTCCCCTCAGACTTTGGTGCTGGTGCAGCTTGAAGCAGGTTACAGACGGCACAGCATCGTAGTGAATAGAAACAAATTTTCCTGATATGAATTTGCCACTTCTTGTCACATAACAGCATTACAACCTGATCACAAATCTGTCTTTTTCTACAGATTCTACGAATCTGTTATACAATAATCAGTAGTTACAGTTCATATAATCCACATTGGCACAGTCTCTGCTTCTCTTTTTTACAAATCTTGCCATCAACAGGCAATTAAACACACCAAATAAAGGAATAGGAGCATCTCTGCATGAGGATTCATGATACAAGATATTTGCATGGTGAACATGGATTCCCTAAGAAACAGATTCATTTCCATACACATCAAAAGCACTTCTGAAATTATTAACAGTCATAAACTGTTAGTATAAAATATAATAGTCATTTTATTGTACTATTATATCAGCGGGCACATAAAAAGAGGGTGTTGATTTGTATAAGTTTAATAATCATGATTATAACTGGAAAAAAGTATCTAAAAATGAGGAATGTCATGCAAGCACATTATTTCTTCATAGCCCGTGTATAAAAATAAAACGTAATTTTATTTAATTTTCCTTAGGTCATTACTCACCTTTGGGTCTGTATCATGGTATCTATGTATTAGTATGTGTGTTTTCGTACAGTATGTATATTCTGAATCTTAACAGCAGCTTTTAAAGATTTACGGCTTTACAATACAAACAAAGGGAAAGACTTCAAACAGACTAACGGGGGACACATGCAAAAACGTAGCTTGCTTTCCTCAGTTTTTCCAACTCAGAAAGGATAAGCATGCAAAAAGCCTCTTTAAAGTCTGACAATCTTCATCACACGGTCTGCCTGATTATGCCTTCGACAGAATGGATCGGACAAGTCTGTATTTTCCTAAGCGAGGCCTTATTGTCTTAGAAAATGAGTTGTGGTGGTTTGCAAAAGTAGCCTGCTTCACTTTGAAGCATTACAAGCCCTGTACATTCTAACATGCATGACTGACTGTGACTCCTGGAAAATATCTACGGACAGACTGAGATGTTTATGACCCAGGCTTTTTTTTTTTCCCCCCCCAAATAACTTTTTTGAGGACAAGCCTTTTCCTAACGTCTTATTTTCTGAATGTGTTGTCGTGTTCTGAAAATGTCTTCACAGGTGGTTACATTTGTTCATGTATTAATGATTGGACGTATTCTGTGTATGTTGTTCCCGATACCTCATAAAGGCAACTGGAAACTGTCTTATTGGAGTTCTTTTGTGAGTGGGACTTTTACATGCAAATGACAGCAGGAAACTCATGGTGTGTGTTTAATGTGTAATGTTAATAGTATGCTGTTGGCCGAGGCCTCTGTTTACACACATACTGTTTTCTTTCATTGTGTAAATTGAAATCAATCATTATACACCTGAATCTGCATTGTATGTTTGTGAACGAATTAAGTGATTTTCTTTCTTTTTTTGTAATCATAACTATTGTTAAAATGTAATTCCTGTCCAATTGAAACAAGGCCGTAAAATGAATTGTCTTGTCAGATATATTTATAGTTGTCCATTCAGATATCTGTTACCAGAGAAACCTGTGTTCAGATGTACTTACAATATATTGTGTATATACAATAGTGTACATTACAGAGGTACATTCTTTTTCTTCATATTTTGTTTGTGGGTTTTTTTTTTTTGGGGTACAGTATTGTACAGTTACAGCAATAGTAGTTGCCACTCAAATATACATTATATAATTCCACGTGTAGTTCCTGTAGTAAACATTTTTAAATAAAAAAAATTGCTTGCTAAATGTGTATTTGATTAATTGTTTCAATAAAAAAGTGCACAAATTAGAAAATTATATTTTTCCTAATATTGCCAGTCACTTGTTCATTTTAAATAAAAAGCTTGCTAAACGTCTCTTTGATTGTTTAAAAGTAATTAACTTTTTTTATATATTTTTTTACACTTTTACTAGCCACTTTTTTTCATTTTAAATGAAAAATTGCTTGCTAGACATGTCATAGATTATTTCAATTAAAAAAAATTGCTTTTACCCATTTTTACAAGACCCTTTTTTATTTTTGCAAACACAATTTTTTTTTTTTTTTTTGCCAGCTTTTTTTTTTTTAAATTTGAATATGTAAGTGGGCATGGATCTCTTTCTGATGCGTTTTAGCGTCAATCCGAGATATCTTACACTGGCTAGCATTAAGCAATTATAGCCTAACCCACCATTACACAAAAAGTACCCACATTTAGCTTTCACACATTTGTTTCAAACATTTCAAACATTTGTTGTTTGTCTCAGCAGCTATGTTTTAAAAATACCTGAGTGACTGCATCATATCTGCAGGTGTTCCTTCCCTGCAGCTCCCATTTCTCATGAACTTCAGGTCTATTTCCTGATTCTTTAGTGTTCATTCACTGGACCAAAAAAGTAAATGAATTAAAAAAAACAAAGAATCCAACATAGTATGGAATTTCATTAGTAATTTCATTAGAAGTTTGTCCACTTGCTAAGGATTAAAAAATATAAGGATCAAAAAAAAAAAAATTGCAACATAAATCATACATACTTTTCTGTTATTAAGAACCTTGGGACGCCTATTCTTTTCTTGAGGAAATGTAAAATATATTTAAAGTGCTACAATTTGATTAATAATTTATCCTTCGCAGGAAATAAGGACACTTTTTCAGCTTTAGTTTTTTTTTTTTTTTCTACAGAAATACAGGAAGACCTTGTAAAAAAAATCTACTAGAATATGCAAATCTAGGTCAAAGTTATCTTCTTGTGTCATACGTTCCACTCTGAACAGACGTCAGACAAAAATGCTTTTAATAAGAGAAGTATGAACTAGCCTTTCTGCCTCATATTGCAGCTTTAAATTCCGTCCACCAGAGGGCGACATACTTTTTGGTTTGTTGTCTAGTAATATAGTGGAATAAAATAGTGGTTTGCACATCATCGACATAAGATGATCCACAATTTAATATTTTAACTTGTGTTATGTCTTCTATCTAACTTTAAGATAAAATCATATATTAAGAGAAAATGCACCAGTACCCTTAACTCAAACGCGATGCACCGAACAAGGAAGTTCCTGACAGAAATGAAAGGAAAGTTTCTGGTCACAATGGTTTCCGTCGAGCTGCTCTCAGGACTTCTGCTAGAGGACTGCAGGTGTAATTAACATTAGTCCATAGAAAAACTCAAATTGGGATTAAAGTGGGAAATGCGCAGGCATCTAACACACAAATGGTTGGTTTGTTCGTTTTTTGTGATTTTCTTGTGTTGTCAGTCAATCAGTGTGATGACGATAGCGATGATGTTTGTGGTGATCTGAAGGAGAAATCCTCCTCAGAGGCAGTGTATTTAGACTGTCTTTCGTCTTTCCATAAATAACTTATTTTTGGAGAAATATGATTATGTGTATGTGTCTTCCGTGTTTGCAGGTCAAATTGAAAGGAAATGGATTTTATTTGACGCTTCTGTTGTGATGTGAGTGACTTTTGAGACGTGTTGAGTTCACAAATAAACCGGTGAGTCACTTTTGCTTAAAACAACAGCAAGTTAGTTGGATGGATGAGAGAAATATGTATTTAGATTCTGTTTACCTTACGATTAGCTCTAAAAATTAAAGCACTTAAAACTTATTTTCATTCAACTTAGCATACTGTTTGAAGGTACTAACCAGGAGTTCATTGGCAACATTATTTGCATTTACAGTATGAACAGTATGATACTGTAAATGTATATACTGTAAAAATATGTACTGTAAAAATATATATTTCAACTACTGCTGAAATATATATATATATATATATCATCCTTGGCTGTGATTTACTGAGACGTTATTTATTGAGACGAAAATAAGAAATCTATATATTCTTGGAGAAAATGGTCAAATATTTCTTATTATTATCGATGTATATATATATATATATATATATATATACATACATACATACATGCATACACAGGGTTATTCTTGGTTTCAAGGTTATTACTACTTTGTTATTACTTTTTTAATATCGGACCTCTAATAAATGCCTTTCTAAATAAATGCACTTTGACTCCTTTTGTTCTAAAGTGAAGTTCTAAGAAAAATGTGTCTAAAATGTACGTTTTGGGGCCACTGTGGATACTTCATTAATCCAATGAGTGAAAATGCAGTAATTATTGGAGGACAGGTAATCATGAGAGAAACTTAGCGTTAAATATTTCCTGCTCTAGAGAATCTTTGATTATTTTTCTGTCATACACAGATCCGATCATGTCATCCGCTTGTGTCAACACAATGACAGCAAGTACAGCAAACCACCTTTGGTCGCTGGATGATGTTCTTGGTCAGGGAGCTACAGCAAGCGTCTACAAAGCACGAAACAAAGTACTTTATCATTATTACAGTTTTCCCATTTCCATTACACAAACAGCTCATAGACTTGACACTTTACACTAAATGACACTTTATATTGCTGTAGAAAACAGGTGAGCTGGTTGCTGTGAAGGTCTTTAACTTGGTGAGCTACAACAGGCCATATGAAGTTCAGATGAGGGAGTTTGAGGTGCTGCAGAGACTCAATCACGTCAACATAGTTAAACTCTTTGCTGTGGAGGAGGTACGTATCTGATGTGGTTTGTGACACTGTTCAAAAATTTCCAGCCACGGTACCGCTGATTTTTCAGACAGTGCTTTGATGTTTGAGTTTCTCATGATGCATTGTATCAGGGTCATTTATGGCCAACTTTCTAAAGAACAGCACAAAACTGCTGTATTTAGTGCAGTGAAATTGATTTGATAATTATTCACCTTTAGTACTCAACTCATTGTATGGTTTAAGAGTTAGAAATAGCCTAAAACAAGGATGATAATTATGTTGCAACCGTTTGTATTGAAATCATTTATGTACACTACTGTTAAAAAAAAAAAAAAAAGTTCAGTATGGGTCAGTAAGATTATTTTTATTTTTTTTTTTTTTTTTAAAGAAATTATTACAGTCATTGTATGGTTTAAGAGTTAGAAATAGCCTAAAACAAGGATGATAATTATGTTGCAACCGTTTGTATTGAAATCATTTATGTACACTACTGTTAAAAAAAAAAAAAAAGTTCAGTATGGGTCAGTAAGATTATTTTTATTTTTTTTATTTTTTTTAAAGAAATTATTACAGCAAGGAACTGGAGAGTCAGTAAATATGTTTATAATTGTGCAAAATATTTATATTTTAAACAATTTAAAAATATATATATTTTAGATTCATCAAGGAATCTTGAAAAATATGTATCATGGTTTTAATAAAAGATTGATTATGAGAAGAAATGTTTATTGAGCTCCAAATCGGTATATTAGAATAATTTATAAAGGATCATGTGACACGGATTCAGCTTTGCTATCACATGAATAAATTACATTTTAAAATATTTTACAATAGATTCTTTTTAAATTGTAATAATACTTCACAATATTACTGAACTTTGATTAAATGAATGCAGCCTTGGTGAGCGTAAGAGACTTCTTACTGACCTCAAAACAATAAAAATATAATAATAATAATACAAGTTTTTAATTTTAATCTTTGCACAAACATTCTGATATTAAAATGTTATAAAATGCCAACAATAAAAGCAACTAGGTTAGCTGATTACCTTGAAAGTCCATAGATATCACCATCAGTTCAAACTGCTGTTGGCGATTTTTCCAACAAGCAGATGTGATGAGACCTGTTTTCCTGGGTTTGGTCAGGTGATGTTCAACATATACTCCATTATGTTAAACTAGTTTGACTCCCCACCTAAACTAGATCTGAGAGGTGAATGTTAAACGCACTGCCTTCAGTTCTATTCCTGTGCATGTCAGATGCATATGAACCCAAAGCAGAAGGTTCTGGTCATGGAGTTCTGCTCAGGTGGCAGCCTGCTGAACCTGCTAGAGGAGCCAGAGCATGCGTTTGGACTTCCTGAGTCTGAGTTCCTCATTGTATTACAGTGTGTGGGTAAGGACCAACAGAGGAAATTAAATGGTTAAATCAGTAGTTTCCTCTCCATTACACATGAACGTGTTACGAGGCATTACTGTAGATAAATAGAGCTCTTTTCAGATTTTGTTTTTCTCCCATTTGCACATATACAGTCCAAGGAATGAACCACCTGCGGGAGAATGCGGTGGTGCACAGGGACATCAAACCTGGCAATATCATGAGACAAGTGAGTGAGGATGGGCGGTCGGTATACAAGCTGACGGACTTTGGTGCTGCCCGTGAGTTGGAGGACGATGAGAAGTTTGTGTCCATATATGGCACAGAGGAATATCTGGTAAGGAGGAAATGCTATTGCATTTCTTAAAATGGTTAATGCTGAAAAATGCCTCTTCCTGCATTTTTTTAGTGATTCACAGAAAATACGGCACATGCAGTTGCTTATCAGAAATGTAATCAGGAGTTTGATGTGGCTCCTTTCATCTGTCTGTGAATAAATGTAGTATCTGAAATAATAACTTTTGTGAACTGTGCTTGTGTGGTTCAGCATCCGGACATGTATGAGCGTGCAGTGTTGAAGAAGCCCCAGCAGAAAGCTTATGGTGTGTCTGTGGATCTGTGGAGCATTGGTGTCACCTTCTACCATGCTGCCACTGGCAGTCTTCCCTTTATACCATATGGAGGTCCACGCAGAAACAAGAAAATCATGTAAGAAATCTAATCTGTAAATTACCTATAAAATTGTTTAATTCTATTTATTATAATAAATTACATATTAATCATAATGGAAAATTATAGAATAATTGTAAAAATAATTTATAATGAAGAAAGAGCTAAAAGATTGACTTCTTTTAAAAATAAACATAAATAATAGAACGTTTATATTAGGCTTGTTTTTGTGCTATTTTTGGTGAATTATGGTGCACTCTCCAGGTACAAGATCACAACAGAGAAGCCAGAGGGAGCCATAGCAGGTGTGCAGAAGGTGGAGGACGGACCCATTGAATGGAGCTACCGACTGCCACACTGCTGCCAACTCTCAGAGTGAGTTTCTCTATGCAAAAGTGTGGTAAAAACATTGTGGACAGACAATATTGTCAAGGAAATTGTAAATGGACCTCAATCAGTAATGCTATTTATTTATATGCTAATTAAATTCTGACTTTGAAAGGAAATCCAATCCTTCATTATGTTGTACTGTATTAAATGGCTATTCACAACAAGGACAATCACTATATAACTATGAAATTTTTATAATTATTCCAATTTCATGCGAATAGGGATGTCCACACCACAACAATAATGATAATGGCACAGAGGAACAATATTGTTGGAATCACATTCAGAATTTTTTTTTCCAATCGATGAATTATAGAAACTGCATAATTGCAGCTCATGCAAAATAATAAACAATGTGATCATCTGTTAGTGTGGACAAAAATATAGTTATCCTTATATTTATAGTAATCATTCTTGGTGTGAACGGTCATGTGTAATTTTTGTGTTTGCCTGAGTTTTTTTGTCTACTGAAAATTGTACTGATCAACACCAAGGTCCACAGTATTACAGCTCATTGCATTGAGTTGTTTTCATTCACGTCAAATTAAAAACAGGCATCTATTGTGACTCATTTAAGTCTCATGCTTTTATGCATTATGAGTAACATGCTGGAAAGAAATCCTTGATAGTTCTAAGAACACTGAAGCCGCTTGGAGTTTGGCAGCAGATCACTAATGGCTCTGTTTTTTGTTTTGTTTTTTTCACAGGGGCTTGAATTCCCAGCTGGTCCCAGTGTTGGCCAGCATACTGGAGGCCAATCAGGAGAAGTGTTGGGGCTTCGTCCAGTTCTTTGCTGCCACCACTGACATCCTGCATGGCATCACGGTCCACATCTTCTCTCTCCAGCAGGCCACAACACACAGCATCTACATCCACTTTCACAACACGTATGTGATTTTCTTGAGAACAGATCTCTTATCTCTTCACTACAGCATCTAATACTGAAGTACTCCATGCAACTTCATTCAAATGTGGTCCAACTAGGCCTGGGCGATAAAACGGTATCGATATTTATCGACGGTACACCTTCTTCGATATCGATAGCAAAAATGTTTGATATAACGCACGATATAGGCACGTACTATGAGTGATGCAGACAGCACACACAAACACGAACACATGCTGAAATGAGTGCTGTGCCTGCCTGTGATGAGGAGATTGTGAATAAAGAATGAATATTAGTCGAATTTAAATAAACATTTGCATTTGAATGTTAGGTGTGCATCAGGGAGCGTCATCAGTGGCTAGATGCGGTGAGAATGATGTGAGTGACGTTGTTTCATTTTAATGTTTTGTTAGTCTAGCCCACGAGACGCGCCGCTGCTGCGTTATTCATTCAAAATATTAGAAGCTCAATGCAAAGAAGATCTTGATTAGGTTAAAACCGAAACCAAGCCATTCACACAGAACGCATATTCAGCGCATTTTTTAGACAGACAAATATGACTGCTGCACTCGCGTCTCACACAAGAGATGTATAGAAAACCATGCAAAGTTAAAAGAGTTTAAACTTTTAGAAAATACGTCACGAATTTGTGTAGGTTTATTCCTTTTCACTGCGTCTCATATGCTTTTAAATGCAGTCTGTGTGAATGGCGCTTCGGCTCTTTGGGCTGCTGCTACGTTATTCATTCAAAATATTAGAGAAATATAAAAGCTCAATACGGAGAAGATCTTGAATGGTTTAAAACCGAAAGCAAGCCATTCACACAGAACGCATATTCAGCGCATTTTTTAGACAGACAAATATGACTGCTGCA